GCACCACTACAAATAGTATACATTCTTTAGTTGTATTTTTAGCCTCTTTCAACAGAACTGATTAACACTACCTAATTCACAATCTAAGAACCTATTTCATTATCCCTGATAAGTCTTCCTTTCCCCAAGCACACATTCTTCCCTGCAAACTGTGAACTGTTATTATATACATGTGCATAAGAGTGCAATTAAGTAAATTCCATGTTTATTAAGGAAAATAATTAAAAACAATATCCTGTTCTTCCTATGCTCCTGTGGGAGAAAGCATGTATATCTGGAAAACAAAGATTAGTCTGAAGATATTAGAAACCAGTATGGTTAGTAAATAGACTACTGGATCAGAAACAGGGAGAACAACCTGGATTAAATGAATTCTACTAAACCAGGGCTCTCAGTTGATAATCTGGAACACTTTTTAGCCTCATCTGTTTCACAGAACTGTTATGAAGATCAAATGGAGGAAGGGAAGAATGTAAAATAAATATAAATTCATGTCATGTTATCTCTTTTATGTCTAATAATGTAGAATATGAATGTGACAAATATATATGCTCATTAGGGAGATGGACTAGTAGTGGGAGACCTGGGTTTGATTGGCAGGTAAGCTATAGTATCAGCCACTTTCATTAATATTACTCGCTTCACCTGATATTTGTTTGTCGGTATTAAAATCCCAAGCTGTTTTTACCTAGCCTGTGCCATGTCCCCAACAGCCTGAGCTGGGTCCTGTAAATGTTCTCTTTTCAATTCCTTATGTCAGTATTGTAGAGAAGACATGTATGCAGGTTTTTAATTGTGTTCCTTCCCAGAATGATTTATTAGGATTTCAGTAAATTATGATGGTAAATTAATAAAAATAATTCTAAGAACGTTCACCCACAGAAGGCAAGTAACAAAAGGAATCCCTTTGTGTACTTACAGTAAAGGTATTCGTTTTTTCCTAAAAGTTTGCAAGTGGCCCAGCTAAATAGGCAGATAAATAAATCTATATTTTCATTTTCTTCTGTAAATATTTGTTACAATTTCTAAAGCTCCCAAACAGAATGATGCATGTAAGACAAAACATGTAGAAAAATGCCAGCTTTACAAGGTCTACAAAAACTCATATTATCACACATTTTATAAATGTGTCCTTGGATTTACAAAAAGACTATAATGGATGGGTTATTTTAAATGTAGAGATTAACTATAGAAAATACAGAGATATTATGATCTATACAAAGGCTATAATGGTACTACGGCATTAATTGTAACCCATTCCCTTTGCAGATAAATACATGTAAAGGATTTTTAAGGTGCTTTAAAAAACAAAGATAATGAGACCTTAGTCTTTCTGTATTTGGTAGGAAGTATTTCTAAGAAAAGGGATATGTCTTTAAAAATAAAAGCTCTGCTTTAAAACAAGATGACAGCTCAGTACATTTAAATTCAAACAATTAATTTACTTTACAGCCTGATTCTCTGCATTGTACTCAGAGCAACTTCTTCCCAAGTAATTTCAATGCTTGACTGATTGTAACAATGCACTTTAAGATGGTGTTATGTGGTATTAATTTAAGGAAGTTTCACATTATTATGACTTGTAGAATTTTCTGTATACTATCTTAGGAGTACAGGGACCCTAAAAGAAACAAATGAATAAGCAGGTTTATTCTGTTTATTTTAAATCACAGGACAATCTCAGCTACAAACTTAGCAGCAAGCAGCAAGATCCATCAGTGGCTTAGAAAAGAGATGATGGGTGGGGGGGGGCATGAGAAAGGCATATAAAATACACTCAGATCAGAAAGTGAATAGAAAGGGTTCTTTTCCTTTTCTCATCATGCTTGAGCTGAATAATAGGAAATTCAGGGTGGATTAAAAGCAGTGCTTCCTCATTACAGAATTTGCTACCTCTAGATCAGTGTTCCTTAAAGTGTAGTCCTAGGACTCCTGGGGGTCTGTGAAATCAAAATTATTTGCCAGCCCATATTGAAAAATAATACAATATTAAAATCCCATCAAACCATTATGAGAAGCAGTAGCAGCAGCAAATGTGTCAATTTTAATTTTTAATACAGTAAATATTGATAAATATAACCCAAACAGACAAAAGCTCTTTTGGGGCCCTCCATCGTTTTAAAACTGGGAAGGAGTCCAGAGAGAAAGACGTTCAAGAAACGTTGCTCTAAATGTAGCGTCATCCAGTCACCCACTTCCTAAAGGGGTTAAGAGGGCGATTGATAAAAGTTAAGAACCAACGGTTACTAGCCATAATAGTTTTACATGATGGCCCCAGCATAGCAGTTGATGCAGTAAGGAAAGAGAAGGGCATGATGGGACTCAGGTGGTTTCCCTTACAAGCTTCCCAAGGGCGTCTCATTACCAGCTCTGGTGGCTTGACCTGATCCAGCATGTCTGTTTCCTCTAATCTGAGGCCATCTGGAGTTAGCTCAGCACTTACCACAGTACCTGCTATTTGCCTGAGATAGTTCAGTAATGTAGTTAAATCTACTACAGTAACATTTATTGTTATGTATCATGACATGCATATTTCTGAAGTTCTGATGCATGGGACCAATTCCAGAGGGATTCATTCTGGCTGTCCTGAAACAATTTCTTAGAAAGGGTTTTGTCTGTATATTGTCATATGGAGTATCCTGTAATGTCAAACTAGATTGTCTCGGAGGCCAGGAGTTTCAAAATAGCCCTTTATCATATACCCTGTCCTATTTTTAACCCCTAGGTTGCTTTGTTGTGGTTGAGTACACAGGCTGGAGAAAGGATTCCTAATGCTAAGTCTTTTGTCCTTCTGCAGTCTCTCTCTCTCTCTCTGCCATGATATTATAGGATGTTTCCAAAAAAAAAAAAAAAAGCTTTTAAAAAATACTTTGTACACACACACACATACACATACACAAACATACCAAATTCAGGATGACCGCCAAAAACATCACTACTTTAAGTAATTTGGTAATATTTTCCTATTTATATATTGATCATGTGGAAGCAGACAGGCACCCAGACAGACAGACGGCATCAATCTCTGAAGTAGCATCAGTTTTCCTAAAAGCAAGCACTACTACATGAAGACTGAGCCTCTTAAGGCCTTTCTTTTAGTAAGCTGACAGTTCAGATCTTTCTCTCTCTTGCTAGCCATATTGCAGTTGACAAACTGTTTTCTCATCTCCTGTATGCATCTACTGCAGAACACTGGTCTGTGCCCCACCCTTGTTGGTAGGCGTGCTTGGCTGGGGCCACTGGAAAAAAAATCACTAAGCATTAGCAAGCAATCAAATATATGAAAGACGACCACTTAGCAGCTCTTGCAATGCCTTCCATTAAGCTGTAAAGAAATAGTGGAGGGAAAAAAGTACATTTTTTCTTGATTCCATGCCAAAACCTGCATCAATCTCTGCAAGTGTTTTTCTCCCCCTTAACAGCCTCTCCCCACCATTTACTTGTATTCAGTTTATTCTCTAAACTGAATTCAAGGAAAGTTTTCTGATGCACATATCTAGATAAATATACACACATACAGACATACACACACCCATTCTCTAAGTGGGAGAGAAATATTTGTGGGGGAGGGAATCTGCTCTCTTAGAAAGACAAAGTAAGATAAGGGTTTTGAGAAACAGAATAAATACCCAGCCACCCCTATTATGTCCTTTATAACCCTGTTGCCCTTGCATTTCCTGCATCTAAGTGAATCTATATCTATCTATGCATTTATATTAATCTTCCCCAACCTGGCGCCTCTCATAATTCCCCAGATAGCATTGTCAGAGGGATTATGGAAGTTGAACTGCAACACATCTGGAGGGCCTCAAAGTGTGTAAGGCTGATATATCTATAGGCAGGTCACCTGGTTTTTGTCATTGGGTCATGATAGATATCTGGTGCCAGGTGCCTTCCTATCTAAGCAAAGATGTGTGCATATAGGAAACACTCTTGGAATCATAAATTGGAAATCTTTCTTTGGGCTTTCACTGCTAACTAGAATCATCAGTCTTTTACTTCCGCTTTGGCTTTTATACATGGATGGTACCTGAGAAAGGAAGGATCTCAGGCAAGGAGGAAACGTATCTTCTTCGCATCTATTGTAAACAGTTTAACTTCATAAAGCTTGCAGTGTCAGCTATGGAAAATTAGCCTTCCTTTCTCATCAGGGAGGCATAGATGGATCAATGTCATTTCAGGAGTAAGGAGGAGAGGAAGAATAGTTGAGCTGCACGTAAGAGTGGGACTGTCCTCATAATCAGCCTTCCCTGATCCACCTGATTGCTTTCTACCATGCAGATACAAAAAATTCCATAAATGGCTTCTCTTCAAGATACAGTTGGAGTAAAAACTTGTCCTTTGTGTATTAATGGCTGGATTCATATATCATGCTAAGCCATGGCTGTTCTAGACATAGTGTGTAGAACAACTGCAATGACCTGGTTCATACATAATGCCAAGTCATAAAGCATGCTTTACAAATCACCATGGCTGCATTCACATACCATGTTCACTCAAAACCAAACAACCATATTGTGACTGTAGGTGTTTTGTGAATGTAACCTATATACCTGGCAGGTAGGTAAATAAGTGTTTGTGGATGAATATGATTCCATATGTGTCTACTTGAATAAATATGGCCATCATGACTATCCATTAGCCCTGCAGTTGGCTTTAACACTCTTTACATTTTAAAATAGATGGATGAGAATATTTCACCTTTTTCTTAGCTGGATCAGATATAAATATGTATTGCCTTTTGTTTTCTCCTTCCTACAGAGATCTTTTTGGGGTGAGTTATATCTGGAAAGGCAGCCATGTTTGCTTATGTGATGCTTCCCTTCATCGCCATAACCATTATTCTCCAGGTGCTCTGACTCTGAGACAGGAAGCATGAAGGGATGTTGCATGAAAGCCAACCGCTTCCTACTAATCGCCATTACCCCTCCAACTCTTGGGGCTGATTTACAATCAAGGTATCGTGTGAGACTTTTCTATTTCTCTCTGTGTGTTTGCAGATTTGCCGACTTCAACACCTTCTAGACCCAGGGTGTTGATCTTCCTCAGAAGCAGATCCATGCATTCCTACACTGTGGCATCACCAGATAGGATGAGTGGCTCAGATAACGGGCTGGATGAGACAGAACTCAGCATTACGCTCACTCTCCGAATGCTTATGCATGGGAAGGTAGGTGCATTAGGACTGCCACATTAGGCTTTAGTCTTGGTCTCTGTACAGTCAGCAGCAAACCTTGCACTGGGGCAGGGCCGTCATCTGAACTGCAGGGAAGTGTCATTTTGCTAATCCCAGAGTTAAAGCCTAGTGAGCTACAGTGCTGTTCCCAAACTGGTATGGGAGTTTGAAATATTCTCTCCAACTTACAGTATGTTTTTCCCACTCTGCAGAGGCTCTTGAGGTGCAATTGTGAACTAATCAATGAAAGCAAAATAGTGGGTTAAATGGCCAAGGTGGCCAGATTAACCCATACAAGTTCAACATTATTTTTTCAAAAGGTCCAATAACGGAGAAGAGAAAGAATGGTCGTGAAAAGGGATAATAACCCTTTCATTTAAGTTGTCAAATCATGAATGAGCTTTACTTTCTTTTTTGAGAAGGTGGGAAATTTTTTCCCCATTTTCTGGCAAAAATACACATTTAGGCATTGCTAGACTCTTACAAATTCAGATCTCTCCTCTAACTCCATTTCTCTTGTCTCTGCAGGAAGTTGGCAGTATCATAGGCAAGGTAAGATTGATGCAGGTCACTCTGTGTGCTTCCAAAATTTCTTTGCTGTCCTTTCATCTAAGACTAATTGCCTTTGTTGTCCTTGATCCTATAGAAAGGAGAGACTGTGAAGAAGATACGGGAACAGGTAAGTATCATGGGGAAAAATAGCCCAGATACGGGGTGGATGATCTATTCCAGTGTTTCTCAACCTCAGCAACTTTAAGATGTGTGGACTCAACTCACAGAATTCCCCAGCCACATCTTAAAGTTGCTGAGGTTGAGAAACACCTATCTATTCTATAGTTCTAGCTGGATGGATTTCTAACAAATGCAAAAATCTACCGTGGAGAAAGTGGGGAGGCAGAATGAGGATCAAGAGGAATGTGATGGAAAATGTGGAGAGACAGTAACAGGAGCAACCTATACAAATCTTGTTAGTCACTATTTTTCTGAATACAACTCATAATTATTCTGAAGTACAGATTCTGACATAATGAATACACTTCCTTCTAGCTCCTTATTATCATAGAGTAAACACTGTAGTGGATGAGATCAATATTTCTATCCTCAGAGACACTTTAATACTGTACTGTGTGAACCTGCCCAATGCTGGTGCTCTTTCCTTTCAAAATTGCCGTGCCATTTTTTGAAGCAGCGTGTTTCTGTATCGATGGTTAACTGCTGCTGCTGGATTTGCCAGTTTTATTTCAGTATTAATCTAGGCTAGATTCACAATGCAAAAGATTTCATGAGAACAGGACTAGAAAATAGAAATGATGATCAGAAACAGAATTGATTATCTGTTTAAATATATTATTGCATTCTACTGATGCAGTAATAGTAAGAGGACGCTAAGTAAGTAAGAGGACACTACAGATATGAATACCACTGACTTTTGAAATTTCTCCTGTCTTGTAATGAGAGGATTTGATTCTCACGTAGCAGATACATCTCTCAAAGAAATACAGTCGTTGAGAAAAAGAGAGGTGAGCCTTGCTTCTAATTTAAATTCAGACAGGAACTCACGGAACAGACAGGGCCTACCTCTTCTGTTTCTCAGCCACATCTGCAATAAGCAGATAGCGGCCAGCTACTTCACAGACTGTTGGGATGATTACCGATAAGATGTTTACAAAACATTTTGTGCCACTTGGTAAAAGTGTTCTATAAACATTTATAAAACTTAAAACTTATTTACGTTGTTATTCCTGGTTTGCTGTGTCTTTAGAGTACTGCCCGGATTACCATTTCAGAAGGATCCTGCCCTGAGCGGATCACCACAATTACAGGCTCTACTGATGCCGTTTTCAGAGCTGTTTCCATGATTGCCTTCAAACTGGAAGAGGTGAGGTAGCCCCAAACTCCATCTGGCTCATGTTCCTCCCAGAGCATGGCTTACTTGTTCACATTAAGCATATTGTGGCACTAAAGAAATCTACTAGTTTTCCATTAAAGGTAAATGTTTTCCAGTGAAATCTGGCATTGGCCATAGAAATGATGTCTAGTTATTTAGAACCTACACAGGCTGTTGCTTCTGTGATCAAATTGTGAGCAAAAAAAGGAAGACATTTAGGCAATTTATTTTTGAGAAAATGGGTTTTGTGGTAGGGTTTTGAAAAAGCAAAGTTCTTGATAATTTTCCGTCACACACCTCATTAAAGCATTAAGCATTCATTTGTCATAATATACTTCTCTTAGTATATGAGATTAAGTTTCCCTAGGAATTAAAAATGACTATATTAAAGCCAGTAGTGGTGATGGGACCATAATTATATCATACCTAATTATATCTATGTTTAAAAAATCAAGACAGAATATTTTGGGATGACAGCCTATGCAAAATAACTGGCTATCATCAAATAGTAGACCTTAGAAATTTGGAGAGAAGAGCCAGATTCTTAGGCTTAATTTTTTTTTCTTATACCTAGAATGAGGGCTCTAACACAGAATGCTACATACTAATAATAGCTGAATGTGATTGTGAAGGGATCCATTTGCACTTGAACTTAATGCAAATTCTTTTATTTTAGGACCTGGGAACTGGAGCAACCAATGGAGGAACCATCTCCAAACCACCAGTGACACTGAGGCTGGTCATCCCAGCTAGCCAGTGTGGCTCGCTCATTGGCAAAGCCGGAGCCAAAATAAAGGAGATCAGAGAGGTAGAGACTTCAGTCATCATATCTTGCTCGCTTGAGCAAGAATGCCACTTTCTTCATTTTTATTTTCTGTACCTTAACTGTTTTTCCTTCCTAGTTTTCACGGCTACTGATCTTATGTTCTGAGAGTGCATTATGTAAATCTCAGAAGCTGCTATTCAGCCATCTTGCACACTTTTTTCTTGCTAATTAAAAATTAAAACTAAATGTACAACTTTTTTCACTTGCATTTCTTTGTGAAAGGCAAATTAAGGATTTTGTTTGTATGAGAAGTCATACCTATATGGGGGAAGAGGTATCACAGGAGACATTTAGATTCTCTGAATAAAGTAGCTTGCTGTAGTGATCTCACAGGATCACAAAGTGTTCCTGACCCAACTCCATGTAAGTAGAGGCTGCTCAGAAAGACGGAGTGTTTGTTTCTGATCCCTGCTCTCATTCCAGACAACAGGTGCTCAAGTCCAGGTGGCTGGAGACCTTCTGCCCAATTCCACTGAAAGGGCTGTGACAGTCTCTGGAGTACCAGATGCCATCATCCAGTGTGTCCGACAGATCTGCGCGGTTATACTGGAGGTACAGCTTTTGTTCACTCTCACGTGTCAAGGGAGAGTGACACTCTCCGAGGCCTGCTCCTTCTTATCGAAGTGGAGAAGTGGTGCTTCATGGCTTGGTATTTGGGTTTTGATATACTCCTTGGGTACTTCAAAACGTGTATCGGCTTTGAGTGCCGTTGTGATTTTTTTTCTGTTGGGCCACTGTGTGGGTACTAAAAAAACTCAGTCCCAACACAGGTATAATTTTCAATTTTAACAGCAGCAGCAGCAGCAGCAGCGCATGTATACGCATGCACACCTGTTTATGCATGTGCACTTCTTTATTTGCAAACATTTTTTGCCGTTAATAACTTGCTGTCTAGCTGCTTTTCTACTCTAAGGAGAAAAGATGGAGGTTCCTGAACCTGTCCTTTTCATCGGGGTAGAGATTTTGATCAGTCAGATGGTCTATAAAGATTTAAGCATCTCTCTACCACATTACTGTTAATTCAGGTTTGCAGCTCCCAGGCCCACTTCTTAGGGAAGCAAGCAAGCAAAAGAGGCATTTAGGTAATTGCCGAGTCAGACAGTTAAGTGAGTTAAGTATCTAGTACCCTATTCTAGATACCGTGCTTTAGGATTTCAGGCGGAACCTTTCTCAGCACTACCTGGCCTTCTGAGCACAAATCTGGTACTCCATGGCTGAGTTGTGATCCTTTACCCGGAAGACTCTTCTCATGTGTTGATTGCACAGGGGAAGATGGATTCCATAGTAGTTATCTTGGGGTAGCTTTGATTCATGAAAATCTGCAATCTGCTTCAAAGACAGATTTCCTTCACAAGCACTAGGATCTAGAATAAGTAGCATCCCTTCGTACTCTTTAGTTCTCTCTTCCATTAATTGTCTAATGGTGGTAAGAGACTAGGCATGATCAAAAGTGATTTGTTACTTTTCATACCCTGCCCATACCCGAAATTACTCAACATAACCAAACCGGAGGTAGCTAAAAATATCCCCTCTTACTTGATACAATGTCAGAGTGCCTGTTGCATGACACAAGGCAGTGGCTGTCGGCATTAGAATGTAGCTTGGGGTATATAAAGATATAACCGTATAGTGATATTTCCTTTTGATTTCCTTCAGTCACCGCCAAAAGGCGCCACTATTCCCTACCACCCCAGCTTGTCCTTGGGACCGGTTCTTCTGTCAGCCAATCAGGTAAGAAACACGTAAATAAACTATGTTTTGCGAAGACATAAAGAGAGTAAGCCTTTTGGCTTTGGGTTTACCTGTTAACCTCTTAACATTTCACATAAAATATGTAACCGGTTTGAAAAGTATCTGAATGAGTTTATGGGTATTTGTCATTTATCTGCCTGATTTTCATGCTTCATATTTGTGATGTGAGCAATTCTTAGATCACTCAGTGGCCATGTGCATTAAGACAGAGAATCCCCAAAGGAGTAGGCAGTCTTTGTGATCTGGTGGGCATCATTCAAAGATCATATCCAACCAGTTTGGTCCAGTTTGTTGGAACTGGTTGTTATATTTTTGTCTAAGTTGCATCTCATATTTTGTCATTCCATGATCAGTTGAATAAAACATAGGAGTTTTATGTTGTAAAAACATACACTTGGAGATTTGGGATGGGGGGAGGGAGGGCTGGCAAGCAAATTAGCAGCACTAGTAGGAAGATGTTTGAAAGATGGGAGTTGGGTGGGCCAGCAGGAAGACACTGGGGATGAAGGGGCAGGTTGGTGAGAAAGCACTAAGAAGAGGTTGAACAGCCCAGCAAGAATATGCTGGGAACATGGGGGCAGACCAGTAGGAATATTAGCTGCAACAGTGGGAAGATGCTAGAAAGGGGAATGAAGTATCCAAACCAGTTGCTGCCTGATGTAGATGACACTCCCAGCATAACTGGAATTTTGATTGCCATTTATTGAGAGCAGTTGTGATACACTATTGGATGGGGGGAACTTGCCTATTTACAATTTGTGTGCAGTAGTGAATGTGGCCAGCTATAAAACATTTCCCAGAAGGCAAACTGGCAAGTTGCTGTCTACCACTACTGCTAACCCCAAGAATGCTCTCTACCACTCTAGAGTGATCTTTTTTCTGCATTGGTGGAATGCTTCCAAACAAACCATTGGGTACATTTTTATCTTCTGGGGCCAAGATATTTTCTTGTAAATGAAGACTATACTAGAAACTGGTGCTTTGTTTGCAGCACACCAACTTCCCATGTATTCCTATATCATTAAAAGAATCTAACCAAAAAGAGTCCAGAGTTAATGAAGGTGTCTATGACCACACCGATGTTTGATGATAACACGTTGCCTGCCTTGAAGACCGCAAAAGGATTCTAATTTGAGCATCCTGATGACCCTGAAGGGGACCCCAGAAGCTCTCAGCAGTCACTGAAGCAAGGGACTGACCGTACATGGAACAATCTTTCCTTGTTTCTCTATAAATCAGGAAAAACTATTCTTAGTAAGGGATTCTGACTAGAAGAGTGAGGTTTAAGGGGTGGTTTCAGAATCTTCCAGAGAGAGAGAGAGAGAGAGAGAGACACCGCTATTTCTAAACTATAGGCAGTCTCCCAATAACAAATCATACTAGATGGGTGTTCTTTTGTGAAAAGTCTGAAATGCGTTGTTTGTATCATTGTTATATTAGCTTTGAAATCTAAGTACAATCTAACTGCTAAAATAAGCCAAGTAAAAGCAGAATAAGCCATGAGAGGAAAAAAAGTGTTATTCGCCAAGGCTGCATAGTAACAATTGACCGTACAATCTTGCACATGCAGAGTCTGGCGTAAGTCTCATAGTGTCAGTTTCTCCCAGACAGGGATGCACAGGATTGCTGCCTGACCCAATAAGTGCTTATGGAGAAAAAAATGGAAATTAGCATGCTATAGTAAGTCAGTTTACAGGGATTTGAGCGCTCAGTATAGAGACTTCACTATAATTCTGAACAAAATCCATTATTGTTTTGTATGTTTTTTTCTTGCAGTGTTCTACACTGATGACCCTAATGCACACAGTATTAACTTTAACACTCTTCGTACTCCAGTACAACTGAGAAGCATTAACTACTGTTTAAAAATTAAAACATATTTACTAGGTGGCCAAAGATGTATGAGTTAATGGACAAAAATGCTGAAGGACTGAATAAATCAAATTACAACTTCATATAAATGCTCTTAATAAAATGAAGGAGAATGATTTAGTCTCACCCAGTGACAAAGAACTGATATATATTCAACATTTCTTGGTATCAGCCAGCAGTTTGAGTTAACTATAAAGGTGTAACGGGGTGGGCGTCCCATTTTAAAATAATACATAGTGGTACTTAACTATTCTGAATTTTAAACTAAGAGTATCTCATTTACATTTCAGTTCAGATGAAATAAATCATAAGTGGAGAATATTGTGTGAATTGAACAAACAAAAGGCTTAAACATGTTAGATATGGAAATGGCTGGGGGGTTTTTATAAAAGAAAAGGCTTGTTCCATTAGGCCATTCATATTTGGTTGGAAAAGAACATTTGTTTTGGCTACTCTTTACAATAATGTATTGTTTGTATTTAGTTGATACGTTGAATCTTATGTGTTCAAGAGACAAAATCACATAGATGTCCCTGCACACTGATAAAACTTCTGGTAGAATGTCTATAGCTCATGAATACTTTGTTTTTATAATCCTTACAACTGAGGGATCATTGAGCATTTTAGTTTCTAAGGCTGTGCAGTGCTTTGGATTCAATTCCGAAAAGGTGGTTCAGAGTGCACAGTGGTTCAAATGCAGCACCTGCCTGCGACTATTTAAAGCAGCTGAGTCTTTTTCCAGCAGCAAAAAAAGCTGAGTCTGTACCTAGCATCAGGGGGCAGCTCTGTGATCCTGGGAAGAGACACGCCTGCTTTAAAGAATTACAGACAGGCGCTATGCTTCCATCCCATGGAACTCTGAAATACCCTTTTAACATCAAATAGGAAGTGTTGTCCAGTCCCTTAAGTTTCCAGGAAACTTTTCTTCCACTGCTGTTGTTTTTTTCTCCTGCAACTGCAGCTGCTCCTTCCCTCCCTGTTCTTCTCTGGTTTTTTCTTTCTTTTTTATTCTTAAGCCCTTTAAATACATAAAGTTTACAAGTAAGCTCTAATATATCTTTAAAACACCTTTCTTCTCTGCTATTCTTTCCCCTTTTTGTAGGGATTTTCCATGCAAGGACAATATAGTGGAATATCTCAAGCTGAGGTGAGTCCAGCTTTGCAGTCTATACTTACATTTTAAACCCCAAGCCTTCACCTTCTGTGGTTCTCATATCTTATTTTTGGTCTCTGGGCTTGGCCCATCCCGTATTTCCTATTTTCTTGAAAAGATTATAGGAGAGTCTTTCCAACCAGGTGCTTCAAGCATATTAGGCTCCCCCATAGTGTCTGGAGATCATGGACTTTGAAATCCAGCAGGGGCATTGTATTTAGGTCAGCTATTAAAGGCTGTGGCAGAATTTACAAAAGCAGGCAAAAGCACTGGAGAATTGCCCGTGTTTTATGTAGCATGACTGAATTTTAACCAGTCAGTGAACCTTGGCCTTCAGGAAAACCAGTCTCTGTATCCTTAGTGGTAACTCTGTTTAAGTGGACTGAGACAGTCTGATCCCACAGCTATAGCCAAAATCTAAATTAAAATTGACATGAGGCATAGTGAAGCATAAAAAAAAAACCCTGTTGTTATGAGATGGACAGCTCGATATTGCTTCTTAAAAGATATCTTCAAAAAGCTTACTGCCCCAGATTTATTTGAAACAGTGATACAAACACTGTGGTATGTATAGTTTCATTGGTTCCTTTTCCTACGCAGGTAAAATGGAACACTTTTTCCAGCCAGGGGAAAACCTTGAGCTTTGGGATAACCTCCAAGATACTGTTGAGAACCGCTGATGTAGAATTGACAATTCTTTATATTTAAGGGTTATCTTTTTTTTCTTCCTGTGGTGCAGGTGACAAAGTTGCAGCAGCTTTCCGGACATCCTGTCTCATTTTCATCCTTGGCACAAACTCCATCTATAGTTGCAGGTAAGAGAATATGTGTGAGGGTTCTGTAAGGTGACCGGTGAAGGTCCTAGAATCCTTTGCATCAATATCTGCCCTGGGATCAGATAAGGCTATAATTTCTAATAATCTCAGACTCCTCAGTACAAAGATTTTGCAAGCATATTTTTTGCTTGCAGAGAGAAGTAGATGCACACATATTTATAGTAACCCTAGTCAGTAGTAATTTTTCACCAAGAAATGTCACTTGTTGTTGTTGAGTCGTTAAGTCGTGTCCGACTCTTTGTGACCCCATGAACCATATTGTGCCAGGCCTTCCTGTCCTTCACTGCCTCCTGGAGCTTGCTCAATTCACATTCATTGCTTCGGTGATGCTATCTAACCAT